AATGAAGAAATCCTCGTAGCAGATAAGCGACTTTGGCTGATCTTCCTTACTTTGTTGTTGCAGACTGGTATCCTATAAAAATTTGACCTTCTCCTCTATTAAACATCTACATTGCACACCTCTGCTTCTAGTCCATTCTCAGCCGGCTCAATTACCTCTGCAGGATCAAAGGTGACATCAAGAAATGAGTCCTCCACATATGCTTAAAAGCAGTTCTTCATAAGCCCGAAAGTTTCAATCGAAATGAAAGCTAAAGTTGACCGACAGGTATTGAAAGAAGGAGAAACATACTGGGTGGATCATCGACATCCTCATTTTCAACTGGCGGTACCCAGTCTTCCTCAGGGGTCCACTCTTGCGGGCGAATAGGATCGCAGTCATTGAAATTACTCTTAAAAATCCATGAATAGCAGGATTTTAAAGAGCTGCTGTGAAAACGCAAAATTTACCTCTATATTTTTGCTTTCTTTTACAGGACCTTCCTCTACTTTTGATTTTAACTTCTTTCGTAAGCGTTCACCTCGGATTTCTTTTCTTCGCATTTCCTTCATACGCTCGCTCTCTTTATTGCGTTCTTTAAAATCGCGCGAGTTGATGCGATATCGCTCTAGTAAACCAAACAGCTGCAAATAAAAAAGCGATTAGAGGAGAATGTATATAACTTTCAGCTACTCACTGATCTTGAAATAGATATAGGAATAGTATCTCTGATTCTGTACATGGTTCGACGACTGTATCTGCATTCCTCATCAATTTCCACATTTTCAGGAGTCAGATCCTTGAGAGGTATGCCGTAGAACAAAGATGTATTCTGAAGTATTGTTTATTCAAAGCTTACACTGATACTTGCGCGCTAGAAAAACTAGTGTAAAGATCTGCTTGTTTAGAGGTAAACTTTGACTACGTTTGAAAAAGAACATCCATTGCTACTTGTTGTAGCATGTTTATTCAAAATCTGCAGATCTCAAACTTTTAACAATGGAAATAGGAAATGCACGTTATGTATTACATATGTTGTACCTAATTAACGACCTAATACTTCTAATACTTAATAACGACTTCGAGAAATTAACCCTTTGATCGTTGTGAAATAAAAGCTTAACAGTTAACTCACTGATGGGTCAAGCTTTATCAGATAAAAAAAACCTTCATGAGTGAATCATTCATTCAAATTAAATAATGTCAAAATAAAATTGTATACTGACCCTGTTTTAAAGATAACCATTCTGATCAATTTTCATCAGTTAAGAGATTTCAAACAAGACTAACAATTGCATTTGCGTGTGAAGTGTTGGCGGTCCTATATACGACCTTTCTAAGATTTTGGCTTTTGCCTCTTGGAAATACGGCTTTAGCTGGCCAT